TTCACCTGTGAAGATGACTGTGTCTCTAGAGAGAGTGAAACAGCTCCATGGGAAAGGGCCTGACACGCAATACTGACCCCCCAGAACCATGGGAAGGTGGAAAGAGGAAAACCAACTGCAGAGAGTTGTCCTCTGATCTCTGCATGGGCGCTGCGGCAGCCACGCACCTGCACTTCACACACATACAACAGCAATCATACAAAATCTTTAAAATGGCAGGCGACTCCTTAGTAAGGGCAGAACTTCCATCTCTAAGCAGGATGCGCCATCAAAAGCTTCCTGGCTGAAGGAGTGTGGTGTCCTGAACCTTTAATCCACAGTCTGATAAAAACTAATTAATCGATTAAGGCTTGCGCATTGACTAGTCATCTCGACCTTTAGTAAAGACTTTTCCTTTCTAAGCACAAAGAATGCTTAGGAGACAGAAAGCGTAGCTACTCTGACCCCACTGTTGTGCGTCAAACGTTCCAACTACTATTTAGAACTAACATTTGCCAACGGAAATAATTTTCCACTGATGAGGATCAAACCCAGGGCCTCCTTACGCCAATCGTGTGCCCCAACTGAGATATTTCCCCAGGCCCCTAGGCTCGTCTAGAATTCATGGCAACCCTCCTGCCTCAGCCTCCTGGGTGCTGACTTTACAGTTATGAGCCATTATGCTTGGCAATAAATACTCTACCAACTGCTATACCCATTCACCCGGGCCAGTGACTATTTCCTGACAAGTCTGAGAAACAAGAGAATTACCCTAACGCAGCTTGGTAGCACATGCTCCAGGTAGCAGCTATGGGAGAAATTGAATATCTTTTGCTTTCCAGTACAGTGACTGCTAGGCAGGTGTTCTGACGCTGAACTGTACCCCGGCTCTACGGTAGTGACGAGTGGGACACTCAGGACTCCCCTACGTCCTGCTTCTGTGGTTCAGAAGCAGGGGGGTACAGAGCCAGGGTAGAGATGAGAGGGTTCCAGAAAGTTCTGCCAGAGGGATGGCAGGGGCCATGGTGGGCACTGTGGGCCATGTGATGAGGGCAGGTGAGGGAGAGCAGAGGTTTGGGAATCAGGCCTGTGCTCACACGGTGAGGGGCCTGGGTGGAACAGGCTCTATGTAGCTGGGGAGGAGAACACAAGGAAAGCGCTTTTCTCCCTTTAATCTTTGAAATATGTTTAAGTGCGTTAAAAACATACACAATATAGAATTTACCATCTAACCTCTTTATTTTATATTTCATTTTATTTGAGACAGGATCTCACTATGAGATCTTTGCTGACCTGGAACTTGTAATGTGGACCAGGCTGGCCTCCAACTCAAAAAATCTGCCTGCCTCTCCCTCCTGAGTGCTGGTATTAAAGGTACGTGCCACTATGCTCAGGTGACTTTTGTTTTTTATATTTTTTATGGTTTATTTAACTTTATTTTATGTGCATCGATGTGAAGGTGTTAGATCCCCTGCAACTGACTCTTCAGACAGTTGTGAGCTGCCATGTGGGTGTTGGGAATTGAACCCGGGTCCTCTGGAAGAGCAGTCAGTACTCTTAACCACTGAGCCATCTCTCCAGCCCCTGTGACTTTTGTTTTTTTGGCAAGGTTTTAGGAATACTAGACGAACCTTGAACTGACTGCAAGGTAAGATGACCTTGAATACCTGGTCCTCTGCCTCAACCTCCTATGCGCCCATTGTTGTTGGGGCTTCTTACTGAGTTCCAAAGAAAGAGGAGTTGAGCGCTATCTTCGTTAGGGTTTCTATTGCTATAGAGAGAGACACATGACCATGGTGACTCTTGTAAAGGAAAACACTTAATTAAAAGTCCAGAGTTTAGTCTATTATCATCATGGGGGCTGGGGAAGCACAGTGGTGCTCAGGCCGATATGGTGCTGGAGAAGGATCCAAAAGTTCTACATCTGGATTATCTGGCAGCAGGAAGAGAGAGAGACACACACACTGGGCCTGGCTCAAGCTTCTGAAACCTCTAAGCCATCCCCCGGTGACACACTTCCTCTCACACCTACTCCAGCAAGGCCACACCTCCTAATGGTGCACTCACTCTGAGTCTCTGGGGGCCATTTGTATTCAAACCACCACAGTTACTACTACAGAGTTTAGTTTGGGTGGTTCTTTATTTTGATTGACGTATTAGGTCATACATTCATTTCTCCTTCTGTCTATGTCCCTTCCCACAATGCATCAGACTTTGCTCAGATGCATACCCAATTATGTGGAGACATACATGGTAAATATGAAGTCTCCCTAAAATGTTGCTTGAGGACACGATTCTGTTTTATAGCACGTGTACCCAACCCCTTGGAGGCTAGATCGGTCCCTCTAGTCTTCATGCCTAGATATGTTTGGGAATATGCTTGAATAGAAACTGTCTGGATTTGAATGTTACCAGTGACAGAACACTTATTCCATTGTTCAGAGGTGGGAGTGCACAGAGGCCGACACAGGTGGGGGTGTCCAGGCGTTCTGAGGCTGCTAGGGACGTTATCCCAAGAGGAGGGGGAGCATAACTTACACCCACAACCCACCCAATTCCTGCCTTACACTCTTGAGTGTCTGCTTATAGCTGAACAGCAGACATTATTTTTTTCCTTTCTGGTGCTGTCTTTGGTTGGTTTTTGTTGACATATGTTAATTATACACTGTAATGGGTTTCACCATGACACTTTCATACATGTGTGTAATGTATTTTGATTGTATTTCCCCTCCTTTTAAGGTAGATGATACCTCCTGTGTATACGGAGTACACATTGCTTAGCTTCTTTTTTTTTTTTTTAAGATTTATGTACTTATTATAGTTACAGTATTCTGCCTACATGAATCCCTTATAGGCCAGTAGAAGGCACCAGATCTCATTACAGATGGTTGGTAGCCACCATGTGGTGGCTGGGAATTGAACTCAGGACCTCTGGAAGAACAGTCAGTGCTCTTAACCTCTGAGTCATCTCCCCAGCCCCCTTGCTTAGCTTTTCATCTACCTAAAATGCTTGGTAAAACAAGAGTCTTTCTCGTTGACATAAGAAAACACCTGGAGGTGGGTAACATAATATAAAAGAGGGTTACTTAGTTCAAGGATTTGGAAGATCAAGAGCTGGCACTGATCTCAGCTCTGCCTGCTACAAGGAGGCTCACAGCGGGAGTGGGGAGCCAGGAAAGGAGGGGATACCGGCCTTACTATTTCATTACAACCCACCATAGCAGTGTTCTTCTGGAGTACTACATTAATCCCTAGAGAACAGCGGCCCCTGGTTAAGATTTCAGAGACTGAACTGACAACCAGGGAGCCTGCATGGGACTGACCTAGCCCCTCTGCATATATGTGACAGTTGTGTAGCTTGGTCCTCTTGTGGGGCTCCTAACAGTGGTAGGAGTGACTGTCTTCGACTCTTACTGGGTTTTTTAAACTTTTATTTAAAAAAGATTTTAAAGATTATTTATTATGTATGCAGTATTCTGCCTTCAGGCTAGAAGAGAGCACCGGGTCTCATTATAGATGGTTGTGAGCCACCATGTGGTGGCTGGGAATTGAACTCAAGACCTCTGGAAGAGCAGTCAGTGCTCTTAACCTCTGAGCCACCTCTCCAGCCATCTTTTACTGGCTTTTGGAACCCTATTCCTTACACTGGGTTGCAGTTTCTTACTGCAACTTGACATGCCATGCTTTGTTGATATTTGTGGGAGACCCACCCTTTCCTAAACAGAAAGAGAGAAGTGGGTTGTGGGGTGGGAACAGAAGTGGGGTGAGGGGAAGGGTCTGGGAGGAGAGGAGGGAAACTGTGGCCAGGATGTGAAATACATAAATTTATATAAAAAGATTCTGCCAATCCCAACACAGTTACACACGTAAGATTGAGCCTTGTGCCGACACACGACAACCAGATCCGGACCCGGACCCGGACCTGGATCCAAACCCAGATCCAGACCCTAGCACTCACACCCTTCTCGAGCAATGTGCTGCCAATCTTAGGACAGAATCCATTTGTCTGAGACCCTGCTTTTTTACTTACTTACTTTTATTGTTTAGCATTTTATTTTAATTATGTGTATGTGAATGTGTCTGTTTTTGTGTGTGGTGTGTGTAGACAAATTTAGGTGCCTGTGGACACCAGAGGCCTTAGGTCCCCTTGGAGCTGGAGTGAGTCACCTGACCCGGGTTCTGGGGACCAAACTTGGGCCCTCTGTAAGAACAGTAAAAGTTCTTAACCTCTAAGCTGTCTCTTCAGCCCCACTGACCCTGTTCTTAAATGTTTATTAGTTGACAAAGAGGTTTTAATATGGCTTATCTTCAAATAACGTTTGGTTTACTGTTTCCTTCCTCCCTTTCTTCCACATCCCCTCCCCTTCCCCTGTGCCCTCTCACCCCAGTGGCCCCTCTCCACTTCTATCACAACACTCTTTAATTTTGTTGCTTATTTGAGACAGGGCCTCCCTGAGTAATCCAGGCTATTCTCAAACTCGATCCTGTTTCTGAGTCCCTACAGCCGGGCTTGTGGAAGTGTGCCATCTAGGCAGCTCGTGGAGCCCTGCTCTAATTCCTTTGGGTACATACTCAGAAGTGGGATTGTTTAAAAAGCAGAAATACTTTCGAACCTGCCTCTTACTCCTTATCAGAGGTTGCCTAGGTGTGCCCAGGGCAATGGATACTAGACCCACCCTTGGGCCTCACCTATGTGCCAGAGGGGACAGGGGTCAATCTCACCTACACAAGTTTGAGGATCACTCTGAAAAATCCAGCCAGGGCCACATCTGGCCCAATACAGCAGTGCCACCCCAACCTTCTGTTCTGACCACAGGTTGAATGCACATAAAAGATACACACCCTGGGGTTTACAGGGCAGGCTCGGCACGTCACCAGGAACTGAAGGAATGGACAGGGCTCCCGCTCTGGATAGCGCCAGCAACACTATCTAGCCCGCGCAGCAGTCACTTTTGGGTCAGATCCCAAATGTTTCACCTTCCTTCAGGCAAGGCCAGCGAGAAGACAGTTGGAGGGCAGGGTAGTCAGGCCATAGTCTGTACTCATCAGTGGGTACCCTGGGTCCAGGGAATCAAATCCAGGTGCTGATCGAGGCTGGGTGCTTGGAATCCCACCTACTTTGAGCATCCAGAGCACAACCTGGTTCCAGATGGCTCTCAAGAAATCTAAGAATCCCTGACAAGACTACTCATGAGTAGAGGGTGACCCCGGCAGCATACAGCATGAGTGTCTCATCCAGGATCTCCCCCTAACCATCCAGCCTAGGGGAGACACAGGAGCCTGGCCCAGTGGTCACACCCTAACAGCCAGACTTCAGTTCACAGGTCAGGGGTGGAGACAGAGTGACTTTGTATCGAGGGGAGGGACGTGACCTTTTACAGCCAGAAACAAAGTCCTTATCTGACTTGAGTCCAGGCAGGTCAAATAGCACTTGGTGCCTGTTTTCTGACCGAGCCACTTACCAGGAGCTCCAGCCATGCAAGGAGCCCGGGTGCTGCTATTGCTTTTGTTGGGCCTCAAGATACATCTGTCCTTTGGTGTCATCCCAGGTAAGAAGGCTCCTTCCGGACTCCCACAGGATTAACCTGATATCCCCACTTGGACTAACCTGGGTCTACTTCCTCTTGGCCAGTGGAAGAAGAGAACCCAGCCTTCTGGAACCAAAAGGCAGCCGAGGCCCTGGATGCTGCCAAGAAGCTGCAGCCCATTCAGACGTCAGCCAAGAACCTCATCCTCTTCCTGGGGGACGGTGAGTTTGCGAGGCCTGGCCACCCTGGGGTCCTTGCTCTCCAAGCACCCAAAGCCACTGACAGATCTAGGAAGGCCTGGGGACTCAGATCTGATCAGGTGTTGCTCCTTCAGGGATGGGGGTGCCCACAGTGTCAGCCACCAGGATCCTAAAGGGACAGGAGGACGGCCATCTAGGACCAGAGACACCCCTAGCCATGGACCGCTTCCCATACATGGCTTTGTCCAAGGTGAGTACTGAGTCACAAATCTGGGATGAGGGAGAAGAGGTTGGAGATGGTTGGAGGAGGAAGAATCTAGAAGAATTGGAGCCCAAGTTGGTAACCAGGAAGCAAGGACTAATGTCTACCAGTATCACACAGCTGAGAGTGTCTCTGTCCCCAGACATACAACGTGGACAGACAGGTCCCAGACAGTGCGGGTACAGCTACCGCCTATCTCTGTGGGGTCAAGGCCAACTACATGACCATTGGCGTGAGCGCAGCAGCCCGAGTTGACCAGTGTAACACCACATTTGGCAATGAGGTCATCTCAGTGATGTACCGTGCAAAGAAAGCAGGTAGGTTGGTGCTGGGATTGGGAGCTCGGGCAGGTCTGGATCACTGGGTGACTTCCTATCATCTACAGGAAAGTCTGTGGGAGTGGTGACCACCACCAGGGTGCAGCACGCCTCTCCAGCCGGCACCTACGCGCACACGGTGAACCGTGAGTGGTACTCGGATGGAGAAATGCCTTCTTCTGCAGTTCAGGAGGGCTGCAAGGACATAGCCACACAACTCATCTCCAACATGGATATTGATGTGAGCTCCAAGAACCATGGGGAGGGCTGGACCGAGGGATGAACCTTGAACTGGCCAAAGTCCAAGGCATAAAAAGTCTGAACTCCAGGTCCTCTAGTAAGGGGGTGTGGAAAGCCCAGGAAAGGTATATCCCACAGATATGGTGGTGGCACGGGCATTGTCTGTCGCGGGGGCAGGACCCATAAAGCCTAAGTCTACCTGTGATGATTATCTGACCAAAGGTGATTCTCGGTGGAGGTCGCAAGTATATGTTTCCCAAGGGGACGCCAGACCCTGAATACCCAGATGACGCTAGCCAATCTGGAACGAGGCTGGATGGACAGAACCTAGTGGAGAAGTGGCTGGAAAATCACCAGGTGATATGGGTTCCAGGGGAGAGGCCAAAGCAGGGCCAGGGCAGGACTGAGCCTCAGGGCTGTGGGCTAAGACTGGCTCTGTCACCACAGGGAGGCCGGTATGTTTGGAACCGCGAGGCGTTCATTCAGGCATCCCAGGACTCAGCAGTGACTCACCTCATGGGTAATGCCCTAGTTCTGTCCTGGCACCTCTCAGTGGGTCTGTATGTATGCCATGAACCCCCCTCCCCACTTCCCAGCTTAGTGGTCACCATAGATTCCTGTGCCTCTCAGGCCTCTTTGAGCCAACAGATATGAAATACGATATCTATCGAAACACCTCACTAGACCCGTCCCTCAAGGAAATGACGGAAGCGGCTGTACGCATGCTGAGCAGGAACCCACAAGGCTTCTATCTCTTTGTGGAAGGTGAGTGGTTGTGCCTACAGGGAAAGAGGCAGGGCCAGGGCCCCAGAGCGAACTCAAGCATCTCCCCCGTCACTGGCTTCCTGCAGGGGGTCGTATTGACCAAGGCCACCATGCGGGCACAGCTTACCTGGCGCTGACTGAGGCTATCATGTTTGACTCTGCTATTGAGCGTGCCACCCAGCTGACCAGTGAGCAGGACACGATGATCCTTGTCACCGCTGACCACTCCCACGTCTTCTCTTTTGGTGGCTACACATTTCGGGGGACCTCCATCTTCGGTAGGGCAAGGGACAGTGTCAGGTGGTGTTCCTCAAGTATATGGATAACGCTGGGCCTCAGTTTCCTCGCTTGTCAAAATGTCACAAATAGCACCTGCCTTGTAGGGATCGGTGACCATTTAACTATTGAGCAAGCAAAACGGTGAGCTCGCCTGCACTCCAAAAGCAGTCGTCAGTACAAGGACGTGGTGTCTCTGTTCCTCCATGCAGGTCTGGCTCCTCAAGATGCTGAGGATGGCAAACCCTACACCTCCATTCTCTATGGCAACGGCCCAGGCTACAAGCTTAGTTCAGGCGAACGGCCCAATGTCACCATTGAAGAGAGTAGTAAGTGCCACGGTGTTGCCTAACTGGGGCCTGCAGGCAGAGAAGACCAGGACGCTGCTCCTTCTGAACACCCTGTCTCCCTAGGTGACCCCTCGTACCTGCAGCAGACGGCTGTACCCCTGTCGTCAGAGACCCACGGCGGGGAGGATGTGGCGATATTCGCGCGTGGCCCGCAGGCACACCTGGTGCATGGAGTGCAGGAGCAGAATTACATCGCACACGTCATGGCCTTTGCAGGCTGCCTGGAGCCCTACACCGACTGCAATCTGCCGTCCCCAAACAGCGCAGCCGGACAGGCCACTGTACAACTGCTGGTCAGCATGCTGTTGCTGCTAGTAGGGACAGCCATAGTGACACCATGATGGTCTGGTCCCCCGCTGGGCTCCTCCCCAGGGTCAAACCGCTGGTTCCTTTCACCCCCACTCAGGGTTTTCTTTGCCCTATCGGTACCGTGTTCACCGTGTTCCACCCTTACTGCTGATTTTAGCGCCCAGCTTGGTAATTCTCTTATCCAGATGTTGAGACACCAGTTTAGTCCACAACTCTAGCCACCTCTGAGAAAACACTCTAGGCTTTATAACTTGCCCCGGGGCTTCTGCTTCTCAACTGACTGTCTCTGGAGTGGGAGGTCCCGAATGGTACCAAGAGGCCTAGGCCGCCAGTCATTGAAGAGACATAATGACAATAAAATGAACTGTTACATAAGTCAATGCCTCCAGTACTTTGTAGTAAGAAAATTCTGGGCACCTGAGGTGCACAGTGCAGGTGGGCAGGTGGGTAGTGGATCTTAGGAGGCTGGGGAGAGGCTGTCTGAGGAGAAGAGAGCTGAGTGAAAGTGGACGAAGTTCAGTGAGCCATGACCTTCAGGCCCTGCCTTCTGGCCAGAAGCTGCAGGTCTCCAGAGGGTCATCCCCGGCCTAAGGACCCCCTAGCTGTCTGGAGAGGCAGGGCAGGGGGTGGAGCAAAGAGGCCCTGATGAGTACAGCCTGGGGCTGCAGTGTTGGTGAAGGCCAGAGATGTGCCTGGACTTAGAAGCTGCTCAGGTGGAGGTCAGGGGTCTCCTGGATGCCTAGCTCAGCATTTGTACCCTGTCCTTCACCCAGAACAGCCAGCAGGTGACAGTGGCGGCTGGCCTGGCCCAGGCAGACGTGGTGGCAGCTCCTGGGGAGCATGCGTTACTGCCTCCATCTCTCAGGCCACATCCTTCTCAAGGTGGGCAGACGCCAGTGGGCTCTCCCAAGGTGGTCACACCTGCCCTAGAAAACATGTAGGTTCTCTACTTTACTATCCCAGGAGACAAGGGCAGCTCGGGGTGGGGGGCGGGGGGACTCCAGCCTTTCCAAGCTCCCATGGGGTGGCACCAGCATGTGACCAGGGTTTGTCTGGATCCATCCTCCAGAGCTCCCATCTGCCCCCTGTGGTGTGACTTTAGCAGAGATAGGAAGTTCAAAGGTCACTGAGTAGATAGCTCTAGGAAGGTGGTAGAGGGGCCCTGAGACAAGGAGCTGGAGCGCAGGAGTAGGGGACCTGCAGCCTTCTCTGCAGTGCCATGCATGGAGCAGATGAGCTGGAACACTTGCTAAAGATACTGGGAAGCTAGCAGCTCCTCCTCATTCTCCTGGAAGATCTGGTCCAGCGGTCACTTCTACTGCACCTGTGGAACAGGAAACAAAGGACAGAGAGTACAGGCTATCCAGGGACATGGAGGACCTTGACCATATCTGAGAAGATGACGTAGTTCCAGAACCTCCTCACATTGCCGGTCCCTCAGGTCTGGACATTGCTCTGAGAGCTGATCTGCAGCTGCCCCAGCAGCACTTGGCTGTGCATGGCAATGACGTCTTGCTGAGGGGTGATATGCTTGGACACAGAGATCCGGGGTGGAGAGCAGACCGGCCCAGTTCTTATCTGTGTGCCCTGTCCCTGCCCCAGCCCTAGCGCTGGCCTCCCCCAGCTCCTGCGGCTCCCATTGGTTCGCCACTGCCCCAGCTTTTCCTGATCCTACACAACATCTGCTTCTTCTGCTTCACATCCGCCTCTAGCAGGCCGAGCAGATGCTCCTAGAACCCCCATCAGGACAGAGGCTCTTCCATGAGGCTGAGAGTATGAGGGATCCCTCCGGGATCTAATCACCATCTCTATCGGGGTTACTGCCTCTCCCTCTGTCTTCCTTACTTAGGAGGAGGATATCACAGCTTCCAAGGCTCCACCCTGTGATTGCTCCGGGAAAACTATGTACTCCCTCCTCCACAGTTCTGCCTGAGCCCAGCTCCCCCTAGCTCCCCTCCCAGTACCAGGCCAGCTGCTGGATTCCCAGCATCTGGGGAGTTCCCAGGGATAGCACTCACATTCGTGTACAGTGGGAAGAGTGTGTGTGGTTCAGCCTGACCGTGAAGAGCACAGTCGCGCTGTCCGTGTCCTGAGCCTCACTCAGCAGCTGGCTGAGGATCAGAGTCTTTGCAGCTGGTGCCACTGGCCCAGTGTTCGGAGCCCACACAGCAGTCACGGTATCGGTGCTCCAGGGCTCCTTCGTCTTCTATGGGCTTCACTCCTGCCATGACAAGAAGACTCTCCATATAGCCCTAACTGAGCATGTGACCCTGCAGATGGCCAGGCCCCCACAGTTCTGTGGTGAGCACTCCTTCTTGTCCACCCACGGCAGACAAGATGTACCTAGCTGCTCAGTGGAGCAGCACTAGCCATTGTGTGACAGACTTCCTCGGAGGCCCTTCAGTCAGGAGGGTTTAGAAGGTCATGGAGGTAGTTTGGTTGTTTCCCCTGGCTCCTTAAAGGCATGGGCAGACCTGGTCTGAGAGGAGAGGTATTATACAAATGATGAGAGGATTCCTGGCTGGATGGGGGCTGATGTGACTTCTAGACACAGCCCACCTAGTGTCTGGTGCTCTGTATCAGCCCACCAAATCCCTGGTAGTCCTGTGGGCTCAGAACCCCTGATCACATGAGGTCTATTGTATGCAACAGCAGAGGGAGGAGGCAAAACTAAAGTATCGGGGCTGGAGAGATGGCTCAGAGGTTAAGAGCACTGGCTGCTCTTCCAGAGGTCCTGAGTTCAATTCCCAGCAACCACATGGTGGCTCACAACCATCTATAGTGAGATCTGGTGCCCTCTTCTGGTACGAGGTAGAACACAGTACACATAATAAATAAATAAATAAATCTATCTTAAAAAAACTTTCTTTCTTCAGCAGGAGGCAGGCTGGTCACACGGCTTCTGCCTGTTCCTGGGGGGAGGCTGCCATGAAAGAAATGTAGAGGGTACCTGCCTGGAGGCGTCCCTGTGCATGCTGAACCTTCTGGGGGTCCACATCTATCCCCAACCTCTGCCATGTGCTCCCTGAGTGTTGAGGACTGTCACCAAGCTCTTAGTGAGCTGTCCTGGTGAGACCCGGGGAGACAGAAGCAGTCGAGAACCATCCCTGTGCCTTCGCTTAGAGAATACACAGAATCAAAATAGATTTGTCAACCTTAAAAAGATAAAATATTACTGTAGGTCACAGAGGGAGTGGCCAAATGAGATCAGTCCAATTAACACCGAGGCTGTGGACTTGATTTTAGATGCAGCAAAAACTGGGTCATCTGAGCATTGCTGGTGGGCATGTGAAGCTGCGGAGCTATTCTGCAAAATTGTTCATCCTCTCTCCAGTGGGCTGGGGTGTAGTTCAGCTGTCCAAGCATTTGCCTAGTCTGCACGAAATCCTCGGTTTGATCCCCAGCACTGGGCAAGGTGGTGTATGCCTATGCTCCTAGCACTCCTAGGCCATATTGAGTTTAAGGCCAGCCTGGGCTACAAATGGCCCGGTTTCAAAATATCAGAAACTCAAAATCAAATCAAACGAACCCACCCGAGGTTGACTGTGGCAGCATCTGCCTGCAATTCCGGCAGATTAACTGTGACTCCAGAGATGGAGGCAGAAGATGAGGAGTTCAGAAGTAACCCCAGATTTGTAGTGAATTTGAGGTCAGCCTGGGCTACATGAGACCCTGTATTAAAAACAAAACAGATGGGGTGCTGTGGCATCTACCTGAATTCAAGCATTTGGGAGGTGGAACCTGTAGGATTAGGAGCTCAAAGTCAGCCTAGGCTACATAGCAGGTCCCTGGCTAGCCTGGACTACATGAGACACTGACTCAACCAAACCAAGAACACAAAAGCAAAATCCCAAACAAACACTATCCAAAACCAGACATGAAAGTTGATCCCATTCATTCTACCATTTTAGAGTCTGAGGCAGGGGAATTGTTTTAAATTTGAAGCCTACCTGGCTTCAGAGTGAGATACTATCTCAAAAAAATTTAAAAAGGGAAACATACAAATACACAAGTCTGTGTATCATAGTGGTACAAGCCTATAAGCCCAGATACTTGGGAGATTGAGGAAGGAGGATCCCCAGGCTAGCCTGGGCTACATGGTAAGGTTAAAATCCACCTAGAAAACCTATTGAGACCTATATCAAAAGAAAAGTAATTAGGGCAGGCTTGGGGGTGGGGGCGCATGCCTGTAATACCAGCACTTAAGTTTGGATGAAAGGTTTGGATGAAATTGGTCAGTCATAGCTTTAGGGCTATGGAGGCCAGGCACAGTTAAACTGAGCGATACCAGAGAGGCTTACCAGTAGCCAATACGACCATTATCAGACACAAAAGTTTAGAGGTGTCCCTTGGGAGGAAGAGGCATCTGAGTTCTCTGCAGACAGTTTCAGGCTAGCCGGGCCTACACAGAGAGACCTTGTCTCGAAACACCACCACCACCAACAACAAAAGACAAGTGGCTAATCAAGGGCCTAAGATAGCCCAGGGTCATTTCAACTCTCCACATCATCTAATCTCCATAAGCCACATTCCATGGAAGCAGTCTGCTGGAACACATCATCATCATCATCATCATCATCATCATCATCATCATCATCATCATCATCAAGACAGTGTCTCCATATGTAGCTCAAGATAGCCCGGAACGCACTATGTTGCCTAGGCTAATCGCAAACTTATGAAGTCAAGTGACCCTTGAGTGGCTGGGCCCACGGTACACAGCATCAAGATGCAGTCTGCAGGACTTTAAACACAGACACAGTGTCTTCAATACACAGGGAGCAAAGTCGGGGCTAGGTGGAGCAGAAAGATGCTCCGGGGAGCAAGTGAAGGTACCCCAGATTAGGGGATCAGCCTTGCGGCCCAGCTCTGATGAGTCATGAGCAGAAAAGGGGGTTGCTGTGGGAGGGCCCTGGTGAGGAGAGCTCAAGTGAAGAGATGCTCGTGTTTGTTTGGTTAGTTGGTTTGTCAGCTGTTTTTCTTTGAAATAGGATCTCACTATGTAGATCAGGCTGACTTCTGCCTCTGCCTCCCCAGTGTGGGATAAAAGTGTTGGGATTAAAGGTGTACATCACCATGCCTAGCCTCAGTGTGGGTTCTTTGAGACAAAATCTCCTGTAGCCCAGGCTGGTCCCCAAGCATGGTTCTCCCCCTCCACATCCCCACGGCTTGGATTTCAGATGCCAGCTACCAATCTGCCTTATCTTCTTTCGATCATTTGGTTTTATTTTGTTTTGTTCGTTCTTTGCAGGGGGGATGTTGAGACAGGATTTCTCTATCCAACAGCCTCTGGATACTCACTCTGGAACTCACTCTGTAGACCAGAGATCCACCTATCTCTGCTTCCTGAGTGTGAGATTAAAGGCATGCACCATCACTGCATGCCTTTCTGAGACAGGGTCTATGTTTCTCTACACTTTCTAATATAGTTAAGAGTGACATTGGACATCTGTTTCTCCTGCCTTCCCCCGCCCCCCCCCCCCCCCGCCGCCTCTCAGTTTTTTGAGACAGAGTTTCTCTGTGTAACAGCCCTGGTTGTCTTGGAACTCACTTTGTAGATCAGGCTGGCTTTGAACTCTCAGAGATTTACTTACCTCTGCCTCCTCCTCAGTGCTGGAATTAAAGGCCTGTGCCACCATGCCTGGGGTGACTTCACATCTCAAGTGCTGGCATTAGGGTGCTGGGATTACAAGGATGATCCATCTTTCACACACCTGATTTATGCAGCAATGGGAATTGAACTTGGAATTCATGTGTGCTGCCACGTGAGCCACATTCCCAGCCCACTTATCCTCTATTTATGTATCTGAGATAAAAATCTCTGTATAGCCCTGGCTGGCTTGGTACTTACTTTGTAGACCAGGCTGGCATTGAACTCACAAAAATCCACCTACCTCTACCTCCTGAGTGTGTCACCACTGCCCAGCTGATTGGTTGGTCTTGAGTCAATGTATTTGATATGTATTTGCTATAGCACAGAACAGCCTTCAACCTTCCATCTTCCTGATGTGGATCAGAAGACCTGATTTTACAACCTTGAGTCACCACGCCTACTTGGGTCATATTTCTGATCTGCTCATCCATCCATGGACGTGTGTCTTGTCCCCACACATCTTGGCTACTGTGAATAAGGCTGAACCTCATGCAACAGGTTCTGGCCTCAAACTGTACCCTGAAGCGGGATCACTGAGTCACAGAAATACATTGAACCTACCTTCAGGCTATAGACAGCTCCCAGTTCAAGCTGGGCGGTGGTGCACGCCTTTAATCCCAGCACTCTAGAGGCAGAGGCGGGTGGGTCTCTGTGAGTTCAAGGCCAGATTGGTGAGTTCCAAAGCTACAGAGAAACCCTGTCTACAAAACCAAACCAAACAAAAACAACGAAAAAGAGAAATCTTCCAGTTTCTAATCCTAGTCTACACCTGCAACCTGCAGATGTCCCCGGGTCTCTGCAGAATACTCATCTTGGAACCCTCTACCTGCCCAGGAGAACAGAGGTCCACACCATAGGTAAGACTCGCCTGTTCCTGAGGAAGATCCAGGCCTTGTCTGGTTTGGCTCAGGATCTTGCACAGCCTCTATTCCAGCTTGTATTCAAATACACTCCAAAGTAGCTGCCACACAAACAAGGCTCTATGGGACCTACCAGCTTCATCTTTCCAATTCAATATTCCTCCTGGCCAATACTCTGGGATGAATACCTTACCTCCCCAAGTCCAGGGAGATGTAGTTAGGGAAACAATCTCTGGGACACACACACACACACACAAAGTGATGGGTCCCCATGGGACAGAGTAAGCATAAGATTAGTGCCCTTCACTTCGACCGTAGCTGCCCTCAGCCTCCCACCTAACCTGGGGGAGGTGCCAGGGACCCACCTGCAGCCTCAGATTCAGGACATTGGCCGGACCTTCCCGTGCCCTGGCCCTTCCTAAACTGGAGAAACTTCAGTTCACACCGTAGGGTGGGGCTGGAGTAGAGCCTGAGGATTAGACAAGGTCTCTGAGCCTTTCTTTATGAGACAGGGTTTCTCTGTAGTGTTGGCGCCTGTCCCGGAACTAGCTCTTGTAGACCAGGCTGGTCTGGAATTTACAGAGATCCGCCTGCCTCTGCCTCCCGACTGCTGGGATTAAAGGCGTGCGCCACCACCAACTTGGCTTGGTCTCTGAGCCTTTCAAACAGGAAGTAAGTCTTCCTCTATTTAAGGCAAGGCAGTCAGAGCCTCAGCTAGCATTCTAGTCTTTCGGGTTCTCCTTGCATGATCCTCAGAACTACCAGCTTCCAGACCCAGCCATGTGGGGAGCCTGCATGTTGCTGCTGGCCCTCAGGTCACAGCTGTCACTTAGTGTCATCCCAGGTATTGAGGCACTCCTTCGGGTGCCTGCTCCTTTCACACCCATGGGCCCTACCAACCCTTCTGCTCTTTTCTTGGTCAGCTGAGGAGGAGAACCCAGCCTTCTGGAACCAAAAGGCAGCCAAGGCTCTGGATACTGCCAAAAAGCTGCAGCCCATTCAGACATCAGCCAAGAACCTCATCATCTTCCTGGGGGACGGTGAGTGTTTGAGGCCTGGCCACCCTGGGGCCCTTGAAATTCACGAACCTAATTCCGCTGATGGGTCCAGGTGGGCCTGGGGGTTAAGATCTGAGTTCTCCTTCAGGGATGGGGGTGTCCACAGTGACAGCCACTCGGATCCTAAAGGGACAGCTGGAAAACCGTCTGGGACCTGAGACACTTCTAGCCATGGACCGCTTCCCATACACAGCTCTGTCCAAGGTAAGCTTCGAGGCACCCAAGTCCCCACAAGGGATGACAAGAGCGGGCACAGGGGGAGGGAGGCTGGGAAGAAGGCAGACCTGGGGCAGTGGGGACAAGTTCCAGAAAGTCAAGGACTAACGTCTACCAGTAGAGCTGAGCTGAGAATATCTCTCCCTAGACGTACAACACAGACGTGCAGGTCCCAGACAGTGCAGGCACAGCCACTGCCATTCTCTGCGGGGTCAAAACTAATTTCAAGGTCATTGGCCTGAGTGCCACCGCACAGTTTGACCAGTGCAACACAACACGGGGCAACGAGGTCATCTCCGTGATGCATCGCGCTAAGAAAGCAGGTGGGTTGGGACAAGGCTTGAGGACACCGGCCGGCTGGGGTCCTGGGTGGCTCACCTGACCTCTTCTGCAGGAAAGTCTGTAGGAGTGGTGACCACCACGTCGGTGCAGCACGCCTCTCCAGCCGGCACCTACGCACACACGGTGAACCGAGGTTGGTACTCGGATGCAGAAATGTCTGCTTCGGCGCGGCAGGAGGGCTGCAAGGACATCTCTGCACAGCTCATCTCCAACATGGACATCGATGTGAGCTCCAGGAGTGAGGGGGAAGGGATGGAGCAAGGTTGTCACTCACTGAAGACTATACAGTCCACACTCTGAGTTCTGTTAGGGTAGTTGAGGGGTTGGTCGAGAATGGGTAGAGAGACAGTCTCTTTCAGACCTGTTGGGACCAGGTGCTGTTGATAAGAAATAGAAGATCACTTAGGTACCAAGTTCTACTGATTATAGGTGATCCTCGGTGGTGGCCGCAAATTCATGTTTCCCAAGGGAACACCAGACCAGGAATATCCAACTAACATTGGCCAGGCTGGAACCAGGCTGGATGGACGGAACCTTGTTCAAGAGTGGCTGGCAAAGCACCAGGTATTGGGGCCCCTAGGGCAAAGGGCATAGCAGGAACTCATGAGGGCTATTTGAAGATATGTACTTAGGAGATTGGCTGTATTCCTGCAGGGAGCCAGGTATGTTTGGAACCACACGGAGCTCATTCAGGCATCCCTGGACCCATCTGTGACACACCTCATGGGTAATAACTCCCGTTTCTTGCTATGGAACCCTTCCATTAGGGAATTGTGTGTGTGTGTGTGTGTGTGTGTGTGTGCGCGCACGCGTGTGTGTGCGTGAGCACACGTACGTCCCCGTCATCTGGGCAGTTGTGTGTAGAGGAGGGTTAATAATGTCCCTACTACCCACGCTGGTGTTCACCATGGGTTTCCTTCCTTCCTTTCTTCCTTCCTTCCTTCCTTTATTTTGTTTTTGTTTTTCGAGACAGGGTTTCTCTGTGTAACAGCACTAGCTGTCCTGGAACACACAAAGATCTGCTTGCCTCTGCCTCCTGAGTGCTGGGATTAAAGGGATGCACCACCACCAACCAGCTCAACCATGGATTTTCTTCTTCAGGTCTCTTTGAGCCTGAACACATGAAATATGACATCTATCGAGATCCTACCCAGGACCCCTCCCTGGTGGAGATGACAGAGGTAGCCCTGCGCATGCTGAGCAGGAACCCCCTAGGCTTCTACCTCTTTGTGGAAGGTGAGTGGCAGAAAGGAGGAGGAGACAGGAGCTAGGGCAGACTCCAGCATCTCCCCACCACTGGTTTCCTGCAGGGGGCCGCATTGATCATGGCCATCATGAGGGCATAGCCTACCGTGCACTGACTGAGGCTGTCATGTTCGACTCAGCCATTGCTAAGGCGGACCAGCTGACCAGTGAGCAGGACACGATGATCCTTGTCACCGCTGACCACTCCCACGTCTTCTCTTTTGGCGGCTATACACTTAGGGGGACCTCCATCTTCGGTAGGTGCGGTGGAGAGGAGACAGATATTGCTGTCTCGGGAATCTGGCGACCAGACAAAAGGTGAAGATGTGCAGAGGCCAGTTTAAAAATAAGTCATCTCTTCTCCCTGCAGGACTGGTTCCCTTCAAGGCTCAGGATGGCAAATCCTTCACCTCCATCCTATATGGCAATGGTCCCGGCTACAGACTCCTTAATGGTGTCCGGGCTGATGTCACTGAGGAAGAGAGCAGTAAGTTCAGTGGGGTTGTCAACATGGGGCCGGGGCTAAGTGCTTCATAGAGGTGGAGGCCACTGCTCAGGACACCCCTTCTTTGCAGGCAAACCCACGTACCAGCAGCAGACAGCTGTGCCCTTGTACAGTGAGACCCATAGCGGTGAAGACGTGGTGATATTCGCACGTGGTCCGCAGGCACACCTGGTGCACGGAGTGCAGGAGCAGAATTACATCGCACACATTATGACCTTTGCAGGCTGCCTGGAGCCCTACACCGACTGTGGCCTGGCGCCCCCTGCTGGCCAGAGTCATGCAGGGAGCCGGAGCCAGACCCCTACCCTGATGCTCCTGTTGGCAGGGACAATGTTGACGATAGCTGTGGCAGCTGAACCCTGACTATCTAAGCTCACTGGACTCCAGTACAGTTTTCTGGGCTCCACATGTCCCTCTGGTTTTGTTCCCCAGTTCCAGGTTTCTAATCTAAATCGGTTTGCCAAGCCGCAACCCCACCTAAGGCTCCAACAGACCTCAGAGAGTGTTAACCCAGCCTCAGATATGAAGCACTCCCCTGCCTTGAAGACTGAGATAAGACAAGACCTATTGACCATGGTAGAAGCAGCAGGCAGCCACGGCTCAACCAGGACCTTGAGGACCAGTGTCTGAGTCACCAACACTAGACAGACCCCATTGACAGACTCAGTGGGCTTCTGTTGCACCTTGAATAATGGGCCCAGCAAAGCTTTGACACAGCCATCCACTGATCCTCATTAGGCTACTTCCCTCTACCCAGGCTCCTTTAAGAGGCCTGGCACATGGAGAGTCTTGTCCCCTATCCCCCAGTATCTGGGTGGCAGCAGCACTTGGTGGCTTCTTCCTTGATCCACTGGGCCTGCACCTGGCATTTTCCTCTTCAGTGTTTGAGACAGGACCATGCCTAGTCTAAATTTCAGTCTGCCATATAACATGGGGATTATAGGTGCCCCCTGCTGTGTCTGGCACCATCTTCCTGGGCCCTCCATTCTCCTGGGGACAATAAAATCAACAGGTACACAATGTCGGTCTGTAGGACTTGTTTGCCTAAAGCAGCTGGGAGGGTGGTCTTTGGGTGGGGACGGAGGTGGACCACACTAACACAAGGGCCAGCTCATCTTGACCATGATGTAGGCAAGCTCGTAGCAGGGATGGATTGGTCTTGCAGCCAGTCCCAACACAGGAGTGAGATGTCTTGGCACCAGTTGATTGATCAATTGATGCCGTGTTGATTGACAGGAAGGAGCAACATGAAGGCTTTGCATTCGGGTCATCTCTAGTTCAGGGTCTACTGCCTGCTGCACTGGGCTCAGGTGAGGGACACCAGCAAGCACATTTGTGTCAGCTCTGGAACAGAGACAGTAAGGTCCCTTGGGCTCCCCAGATGCCACACTGGCTCACGGACTTGACCTCCTGGAACTCACTGTTGTTTGCAGCCATGGAATGCAGAGTCTCTATTGTGCCAAAGGCTTGGTGTCTTGGTTGGTCATACCAAAAGAGCAGAGGGGGACTCTGTAACCTTTTTGCTGGTTTGGCAGTGAAACCAAAGGCACCTGGGAAGAAGGGACAGAGACAGGCAGTGGAGACTGCAATGTGTTTGAACACGGCCAGCCAGACTGCGGTCATGGCTGCATGCATTTGCACGTGGTGGCCAGGTGTGCACACCTCTCCTGGGGGGCCAATCAACTCACAGAGAACCTGGACAATCAGCTCACAGAGAGCCTGGACAACAGGAGCCCCTCGCTACATCATCTGCATGAGTGTGTCCTCCTCGAAGCAGCACCCTACAGCATGAGCAGACCGTAGGAAGAGGGAACAAGCAATTTCCCTGAATAATTACAGTGGGTAGCAACACTGCAGGAGCCGAAATTCCCCGCCCATGGGTGGGCAGGGAGGTAGAGTGGCCAGGAATTCCAAAGGCCCCAACTCTCAGTACAGTGCCCTACGGTGTCACTGCCTGTGGGGGACAGTGAAGGATGACGAGAGAAGGGCTGAAGGGTGGAAGGAAGCTCTTCCCTCCCTGTGCTAGATGAACTGGAGTGGATGGGACTTCCATCACTTCTCGGTTAGATGGATTATAACTGTCTTCCTGAAGCTGTGGCAATAGATGTCTGGAAAGTTTTCTAGAATCTGAAAGTTGATTTCTGCCCTAGATTCCTGTCTACCCCACCCCCTGCCAAAAACAAAAAACAAACAAACAAACAAAAAACAAAAAAAAAGCACACTCTGTCAAGGAGGTGTCTGGGCTGGGGATGGGGTTGCAGGGAAGGATGGTCCCCAGGGGTACGTTTTTACTCTACATCCACTGGGTGTCCCATTAACCGAGTCCCTTCCTCCTATACCCCTGGGAGCCTGTCCCAGTGCAGGGCTTGGGCACCTACAGGGTGTTCACGGGCTATCTGCTCAGCCTGCTGAGGACCAGCACTAAAGAGCAGAAGGCTCAGGAGCTAGATCCTGTGGCTGGAGGCCCTGCTGACTACCGGCCAATGTGAGTAGCAGGGGCTAGTGGATTGCTGGAGCGCGCTAGAGCAGGGTAGGGCCAGGCTGCTTTCCACTCCAGGATCGCCTTGTCATGGAGAACAGACCCTCTGTACATCAGTGATGCTGGGGCAGCTATAGATGCTCAGCACCCTGCAGGGTCTCCTTGACCTGGTGGGCAGAAGAGGATATGGGAGGTGGCTTCCCCAGGGCTACAGCATCTGTGCATCTGGACTCTGCTGTGTTCTTGCTGCTTCTCTGATCGCTCCCCCTACCATGTGACCTGAGATCACTCAAGCGGCCGCTGGACCAGTTCTTCTAGGAGGACTTTTCTGAGGAGGAGGAGGTGCTGCTAGCTGTGGAGCACCTGCAGCAGATGGCCAAACCTCCTCACTCCAAAGTTAAGGTTACAGGTTCCCCACTCCTGCACTCCCGGCTCCTTGCCTCAGGGCCCTGCCATCAGCATCCTAGAAGTCTTCATTTGGTGATCTTCGAATTTCAATCTCTGCAGGATGCAGGCGGGAGCTCTAGAGGATAAATCCAGATCCCTGGGCCACACATTGGTGCTCACGGCTGCCCCATGGGAGCCTGGGGTCCCCCTGAGCTGCCCTTGTCTCCTAAAATGGTGAGGTGGAGAGTCTAGATAACTTTTCAGGGCAGGTGTGACCACAACTATCTTCCCTGACCACCATGGAGTGAGCCTACTGGTTTCTGCCGATCTGAGTCCAGTCTAGGCCAACTCCAAGGCAGCCCCCGTGAGTCTGGAGTGGCCTGCTTACAGCGAGGTAGAAAACTGACCCTGATCCATTAGGGTCCTTCCTAGTTAGAACAAGGAACGCATTCTTCTGTGTCCCTGGGGCTTTGGATACTTCAGGATAAGCTTTGCATACTTTGGCCCAGGTACTTTACCTGCACTGTAGAGCCCCTGCCCTATGGCTATAGCTGACTAAGGGGCAGAGCCTTAGGCAAGGATTGAGCTGTCTGTAGCTAAGCTGTGTGACCATTGCAAAGCCAGAGCTCACTGCCAGGTGGCACGGGCAAGCCATGACTCATCCCTTCATGTCCAGGGCCTCCTGTGTTGTTTGTGCCTCCATTTGTCAATGCCCCTCCAACTGCCTGCTCGTCTCCCTCACTCTAGCTGTCATTTTTCATTTCATCTCGGCTTGAAATACTCGGTTTTTCTAACAGGAAAGCCCTGCAGGCATCATTTTATTATTGCCAAGTCTCCCAGGAGAATGAAGGTGACAACATTCTTTGCTTGGACATTAATGTGCAAGCTAGGGATATAGAGACACATCCATGTAATTATAGCACCCAGGAGGCTGAGGCAGGAGGATCATGACTTTGAGGCCTAGTGGTAGCAGCTGAGAACTGTCAAAGAGGCACTGGTTATCTTGGTTACGTCAGCCTCTCCAGGGTCTGCTAGATGAGCTGTGGACACTGGAGCCAGGAAAGGCCAGCGCATTCCTGCTCAGTCCTTCCCTGTGGGGACATCAAGGGCCTGCACACGGTCCTCCTTCTCGGGCACAGGCTGAGTGTGTGACATCACATTTTCTGGGAGCTGAGATCAGTGACAAACACCAGGGAGAGCTGGCCCAGGGTGGGCATCCTGTTAGGTTGCGGAGGTCTGGGAGGAAGTGCTGCAGTTCAGAGGCTGGTAACACTCTGAGTGAGGTCTGTGGGAGTCCATGGTGGAGTAGCTGGGTTGGCGACCTGAGTTAGAGCTGTCTGAGATTAGAGACCTGAAGCCAAGGCTCAGGGAACTCGAGGAACAGAAGTTCCAGCGGGGAGTATTAGCGTGGTACACTGGAGCCAGCTGTGGGGCACTGGCGAGAGCCCAGTAAGCTCAGGTAATCAGAGTTCCGCTGCCACCACCAGCATGGACACTGTCGCTGCCAACAGGAACATCAGGGTAGAGGTCTGGCCCCGACTCGCAGCACCGTTCCGGCCAGCAGGGGGCGCCAGGCCGCAGTCGGTGTAGGGCTCCAGGCAGCCTGCAAAGGCCATGATGTGCGCGACGTAATTCTGCTCCTGCACTCCGTGCAGCAGGTGTGCTTGCGGGCCACGCGCGAATATCGCCACATCCTCCCCGCCATGGGTCTCTGAAGACAGGGGTACAGCTGCCTGCTGCCGGTACTTGGGGTCACCTAGGGAAACAAAGTTTCCAGGGCAAAAGGTATTTGACCCCAGTCCCCTCTACCCTCTGACTGCAAGGGTGGTGGCCCCATAAAACTTACGGCTCTCTTCGTCAGTGACACCTGCCCGGACACCATTCTGGAGTTTATAGCCAGGGCCGTTGCCATATAGGATCGAGGTAAAGGATTTGCCATCCAAAGCATTGAAGGAGGCCCCCAGCCCTGCACAGAGAGATATTTTGCAACTGCCCTGGCTTGGAATCCATATAGACCACAATCTTCCCCTTTGCCTGTTTTTACCAACCCCCTGGAAGGCAGGTACTTTGTCTTTATACATCTGACAGACAAGGAAACTGAGGACCAGAGAAATTTCTGGCATGCAGGTATCCCAAGTACAGGCAGACATTTGCCTTGTCCCCTGGCCTACCAAAGATAGAGTTCCCTCGAGGTACGTAGCCACCAAAAGAGAAGACGTGGGAGTGGTCAGCGGTGACAAGGATCATCGTGTCCTGCTCACTGGTCAGCTGGTCCGCCTTAGCAATGGCCGAGTCGAACATGACAGCCTCAGTCAGTGCACGGTAGGCTATGCCCTCATGATGGCCATGATCAATGCGGCCCCCTGCAGGAAACCAGTGGTGGGGAGATGCTGGAGTCTGCCCTAGCTCCTGTCTCCTCCTCCTTTCTGCCAGGCACAGCCACTCACCTTCCACAAAGAGGTAGAAGCCTAGGGGGTTCCTGCTCAGCATGCGCAGGGCCACCTCTGTCATCTCCACCAG